TGGTCTAGGAGAAGGAAAACTCTGAATTCAAACCTGCTCTTAGAGGAGGGTGAATAGAGTCTCTCTGAGCATTGGTTGGCAATCCATTTAGTGTTGGTGTCACGATAAAAACCCCCTTGATAGCCCTAGCGAAGCATCAAGAATTCAGCTATTTGACAAGATTATGAACTACACCAATCAAAGTATTGGTGAGTTCAATCTCGGCTGAGGCCGCAAGATGATGATCTACATATTATGCTTACGGCTATATTAAGTTGAAACATAGAGGTAGAGTCTGGTTAGATAGATAATTGCTTGAGAATATGCGGGTCGGGGAATGGATAACGTCTAGGAATGACATTCCAGATTGATTTGTTTGTTTAACGGCACATCAAGTGCTTATGGGTCATTTAATGCCGAAATTTAATTTTCTTGGGAGATTTGAAGTAATAAAAATAGGATATATATTATTATGTTTTCACAATTGAACACATGGTAAATGATACTCATTTTTTGTTTATACACATGTTCATGTGTACATAATTACTAGAGGCGGTGATAGGTGATTTTTCTGTTTCGAAGTTATATATTGAAATACAGTCTGATTTCTTGAAGAAATTGTCGGACATTATATGGATTGATATAATGAGAGTTCTTTCATGTTGGTTATTTGGTTGGTTATTTGAATTTGTTTAGCCTCATATCAACCACTATGGGTTATTTAATGCCGAAATTTTAATAATTTGAACACATTTGTATGCATTCAACAGCAGATAAAATGTATTGCTGAACTTTTTGTATGAAAATGTGTTACTGATATTTTTTACAATAAACATGTATTGGTGATATTTTTTATTATAAAAATGTATTTTGATACTTTCATAATGTTTTGCATTTGTTTTGGGGTTCAGTATTTACTCATAGCTGGGAAACTAACAGTTGCTATCACCCGGTTCAGGATGAATTGGAGAACATTCAATTAAAATGTGGTTCTACGCTTCTCAAAGCCCCCAATAACCCGATCAGAGAGATTTCGTTTATCGTCATGCCTAGGAGTTGAGAAATCTGAGTGCTAAGTTCGAATTCCATTCGAGTCCGTTATATTCCCTTTCGCGCAAACCCCCCTAGGGAAATGTATGAATCCATCTCCGCAACCCCAAGCAATGGGTTACATAGCAGAACAGACTTGTGTACTATAGCCCTGAAGTCAATCATGAATCCAAAAGATCACAAAGAAGACCGCCCAAGCGTGCATCATGACATGACGCCCAAGGAAGGAAGGGAAACCACTATATGCAAATCTTTCAACTGTCTTATATATATATATATATTTCACACCCAACCCAGTTCTGCGGAATCAGAATCAACGTTGAGTTTAAGCAAGCGAATGAGCCAATTGGAGTAAAGTGCCATGCCGATTTAAATTTTTCCCACTTGTGACGAATGCAGCTATCGATTTTTATTGCATGCTAGCATGCTAGTTTACATTCGTGTCAGTCAGCTGTTGGCTCTCACGCTGGCCAATAGAACCTTCCTGCCTATTCGTGGCAACCAGCTATAGGCTCTCACTCTGCCCAGTACAAAATGGCCACAAACTACATGAAAACTGCCGTAGAAGCATGTAACAATCGATTATTTCCACTATCGATGGGAGTTGGGAAATGCAAGGTCAGTCTTGGCCTTTTTTTTAACTTGGAGCATGTGCATGTAAATTTTGGTGCAAATTGCATTCGTTACACACACACACACACACACCTGCCTTATATATATATATATATATATATATATATATATATATATATATATATATATGTGTGTGTGTGTGTGTGTGTGTGTGTGATTTTACTAAGGTTGCTTATTTTCTTCAGTTTCTTGTCTAGTAACCTGGAGGGAGTTTTCCCCACCAAATAGGTTTATCTCTATCGTAATACCATCTAATATCTCCGGTAATATTTTGTGTTCCGTCGCTCATCAAAGTGTTTTTCCTTGTTGCAAACAATTTTTTTCTATTTTAAATACTCACAAATAAAAGCTTGCCTTGCAGTCATTTCTGACTTTGATGATAAAACATGGAATTATCTTTGAAATAACCAATTTCAATAATAATAAAAAAAAGTAATACAAAAACAATATACTTAAAGAACTTCTACACTGTACAACTGTTGGTGTAAAGTCTGGATACATAAAATATCGCCTAGTTATCCACGGTAGATAGATCACCCGCGGATAATGACATACTGATGATAATGTATTATGTAACCAAGATATGCTCAAAAAACTATAAACTGTAAGCTTATTTCATCAAAAAGGGGAGGCAACTCTTTTTAAAATGAAAAATTTTATTGACGTATCAAAACATACTCTAAAAATTGTTATTTTTTACAGTAAGGTTCACCTTGTACAAGGCCTAGGAGCCACTCGATATAGAAGGTTACGTTAGCAGGCAATTTTTTTCTGATAGGAGGGAAGATTACGGTTTACCCTAACCATGAACGGGTTAAGATTGTAGTGATTTGGGTAACATACACTTGAGACACTTTTCCACAGAGCTATGGTTCGCGTTCAAGTGGAACTTAATTCTTGGAATACGATGGGGATGTGCGTGGTTTGCTACTATGTAAGTGGCATGAAATGTCCTTGCCGTGAAGGTTTGAACTGGCGGAACCAGAGAATTCCGTTCGTCCGAGCACTTTCCGTGTATGTAATAACAGATTTCCGAGAGACTTGTCACATCCCGTCTGTGATAGAGGGTGGACAATAATTCGTTACCCACAGGGGCTCGGAGAAGCTTATATAATACTATGATCATGGAGGTGTGTTTATCGTCAAGAGCCTCGTTAATTCTGTGACCGATGGTAGTTAGGACATCAGCAGTAGATCGGACCGATCGAACCTCGTACTGCTTGTCGCTGAACAGGTTGTTCTTTTATAGGCAATCGGCGAACTTCTTTTTGATTATAGCCTCAAAAATCTCACTGATGATTCTGATGAAACTTATGGGTCTCTACTGAGAGTGGGAGGATAGCACGCTAGCGTTCTTGAAAACCAGGAATACACTTGACACCATCTACAGACTTAGGAACGATTTCTTCTTCAAACAGCGGGAGAATGACATCGCTAGGATTGGGGATGATTACACATTGATATTCTTAAGGACAACCCTTTGGATTTGTCTAGGTCAGTGGGTTTTTTTTAGGGTAAAGTCTTTTGATAAGTCTAGAGACTTCATGTGTTGTAATGGTAATGTTATTAAGACGTGCATGTGAGACGTGTCGATGGGGATCTCTTTGTCGTCTAACATTGAGTTTAAGGTTGAGACAAAGATCAAGCTGAAGAGCTTTGCCTTTTCAGTCGAGGAACATATGAATTCGGGCCCATTTATAATTGTGGGTACAGCCGCTTTACATCGGTTCAAGGTTTGGTTGGTGATCTTCCATGATTTGCAGGACCCAATTTGTTTCTTTTCAAACTTGATCTGGACTGTGCGTAGCATTTTGCGTTTTCTAGAACTTTTTACAGCAGTTTCGGGCAGTTCCGTATGCAGTAAACGTCAAACTACATTGCTTCTTGCAATAGATATTGTAATAGTGATTGCAGTGATTTAAAGATATTCGTGGTGAACCAGGGTTAAATTTGGTTTTCACTGGGATTTTTCGTTAGGTATATAACTGATATATCCTGGAAAGGGATATATTTGAACGAAGTAGCTAAGTGGTTTTGGCTACTATAACCAAGTAGAATACGGTAGTAGTAATCGACTGGTACGCGTCGTAGTCGCAGCTAAGAAGTGTAAATCCATGGCGTAGTCCAGTGGGCGTCGTTATAGACTTAGCTCTCAGACGAATTTTCTCTTGACTCTGTCGTACCTACACGTCCGTCGGTATTTATGACGGACACCAGCCAATCATATTCCAGTGAGGGGGGACACAGGAGTACGCATATTCTATTATATCAATAACTCTCTGTTCCAAAACGGATCCATGCAGAGACAAGGGCAGTAGTTTCGGAGACAGTATGCTTGAAGAAGTTTGTGAGGGGAGCTTCCGTTTTGTAGGATCTAAAGCTGCCCCATTCTGCCTTCGCGGACTGAAATATCGTACTGTGGAACATTAGAGGATGCTTTAGGTTTGGCATAGATCTGAATATTGATTAGGAAATGATTTAACGTACCTACGTAGGGGCGAAACTTTTGCTAAGCATTCATCAGGCCAGGAAGCTAGAAAGAGATCGAGGATTTTCGCCTGATGTCCCGTCGCGTCCAGGACACGCATAGATTCTTTGATGATCTGGACTGGTTCATAGGCGATAGAGAAGTCTCTGCAATATCTGCCTTCATCATCGGTTTTGTTGGAGTGGACTAACCACTCTTTGTGGTTGATACTGATGTAACCACAGATATGAACGCTAACAGAGGGAAATTAAGTGAGGATATCAGATATTCGATCGAACAGAACTCCAAAATGAATCAAAAACATCGTTCCTGTCCGAGAATTAAAGGTAACAAGACAAACTCACCCATGTACGTGAGGACTAAAAATACTCATTAGGAGAAGTGAGAGGCGGTAACGAAGGTTGTTATGGATGGATGTACTTCCCAACTCCTATTTGGTTTATCGTCCTGGGTAAGAATTTAATGTTTATCGTCCTGGGTAAGACGTTAAACTACATTTGTGTCCTAGGTAAGACGATAAACTACGTCCAGCAGCAAAGCCTCTGATCAGGAGGTTTTGAGGCGCGTGGAACCATCTCTTAATTGCTGGTGTTCCCAGGTTCACCTTCACCCGGGGTGGTAGCACCTGTTAGGGTCCCATCTACGGGCAAATAGTTAACTATTACTAGCGATACTTTTTGAGAAAAATTCTTACCAGCAGTGCAATTTTGAATGAAAAATATTACCAGAAACAGATTCTTGACAAGAATTACCAGCAATAATGAATTTTGTCGGCATTAAATAACCCATTGTGATTGATATGCCTTAAAACAAAATAAACCAAAACCAAAATAAACCTATTTGGTTTAGTATGGTAGATCGATACGAAGGTAGGAGTATGCAATAAGCAAGTTATGGAATAGATAAAAAATATTTCAGGTTTTGAAAAGAGAAGCATTAATGATCGGATTGAAGACTCTGATGTGGGTTATTAACTGGGAGAGTGAAACATCTTTAAAGTTTTAACTTAATATAAATACCAATATCCACTCTCTCTGAAGAAGTCCTCCCAGTTCGGCACGCAGAAGTTTTAAAAGAAGAAATATAGTAATCAGTAAATAATATTTTTTATGAATTATTCTCCTTCGAATCTGACGACTTAGAATTTGATGTTATTTAAAATGTTTAATATTTATATTTTGAAAATATATGGTTAGTAGATAGGCCATAGGAGAGTCTTCAATACAACAGCTGCAAAAACACAGCTCCTAATGTCTATTCAGAGACTTTCAATCACACAAATGCACTCTGCTGTCGACCTCTTAGAAGGAGTCTATTCTATTAGACATCTGATTGCAGCTAGTTCGATAGGATGCAAATATAAGCCTACAGAAAGATAATAGAGCAGCTTAACTGGAAGTTATTTTCACAGAAAAAAAAACAGCCTTATTGCACATACAGAATGACCCCTTCCGATTATAACATCTCATAACAAACTGCCTAGGTCTGCAGATTCGAAATCAGTTTGAAGTATTGTGACGTTATTATTATTATTATTATTATTTTTTTTTTCTTTGATTTCTAGTATGTACACATTTCTTTCCGGGTCGAGCCCAGAGACTTAAGGTCGGAAATGTCATCATGACATTTTCCACTGAGCAATTAAAAAAGAAAACACACATATCTTACATAGATAAAGCCCTTCGGAAGGTGTATACTGAACTAATGAGAACAATGTTTGTATTTCTTTAAGGCACGGGCTTCCAGGAATCCCTTCAATGAGTCTATTGGAATTTTTCCAACCAATCCAAGAGCTACAACTACAACAGGAATTGTTGATGCTCCAATGTACCCCCGAATCTGGGCAAATACAGACGATCAACAACAGCTTTGGGATGATGCATGCGATATTCAGTACCAGACACATACGCTTGTAGTACTCCTTTCTTACCTTCTCCTTCATTAATTCCTAGGTATTTATAGGCTTCTTCTTATTCCAGTTCCTTAATCTTTGTGACAAAATCTAAGTCTATTGACTGTGTTTCTGTAGTTTTCCCTTTTATGGATGTTACTTTTTGTTATGATGTTGATTTGGGGTTAATAAAGACAAACGCCAAATAAACACGTAACAATAAAAAGGGGTTTATTCGGTTGGTAAGTAGGTACAGAAATCGCCTGAGTAGTCTATAACTAGCTCAGCCAAGAACTTCCTCGACTCTGTCTGTCTTTTGACATGCCACTATTTAACGTCTTTGTTTGTAGACAAGTTCATCTTCAAGAGGGGTGGTAGGTTTCCTACACAACACTTTTGCACATTAATCTAATCCGAAATCCATACCTATGTCGTCACTGAAACATTTTACAGTAAAGAGGAGACCCTTCAACTCATTGTCGTCTTTGGAAAAGAATTTGAGATCGTCCATCTAGAGTAGGTGATTGAATACTTTCTTGTTTAGTTTGTAACTATAGCTACTGTTGTTTAGTTCATGCGTAAGAGGGATTAAGGATAAACAAAATAGAAAGGGTGACAGGGAGTCGGATATTCAGACAGTTGGACATGACAGTGTCTTTGGTGTGATTTCGGTATAGTGTGGTGATCTACATTCCCATGCTGTGCTTAAGGAAATTTACTAGCACAGGGGAGACTTTGTACATTTTCAAAGCCTTAAGGATCCAAGAGTGTGGCACACTATCAAAGGCTTTACGGTTATTAATCCACAATGCGCTAAGATTTCTAGACCATCTCCTGCAATTTTCCAGTATCATTTTGTTTATCAGTAGTTGATCTTTGCAGCCATATGAACCTCTCCTGCATCCCTTCTGTTCCAATGGAAGAATGTTGTTTGCTTCGAAAAAAGACGGTTCATCAGGGCAGACTTATACGTTGTGGAGAGACATGTTATTGGCCTATAATTTTTCGAATCATCTGTTTTATTCGTTTTTGCCATGAGATATGTAACACCTTCAGTGATCCATTCCGGGATTTCACTGGGATTATTTACAAGCATTTATAGAGTTTTTACAAGGGTTTTATGGATTGATGAAAGATGAGAGAGCCAGAAATTGGGCACCTTGTCATTTCTTGGGGATTTCCATTTTTGAGATTTTGTTTGAGATTGCCTAACATTATTTGTGGTTATATTTTCCCACTCTTGCAGAGGTTTATCCAGCAGTCGTTCTTCTTCATGTTGGATCCATTGTGCATTTGGGTTATATTCCTTTGAGCTGCTCCAAATATTCTCCCAAAATTTCTGCACTTTGTCAATTGTTGGTGGCTTTTAGATATGTATAGGTGCTTTTCCAATTTCCATGTAAAATTTTAGGGTTCGTTTGGAATATTTTATTTTGGCGATAGAACCTAAAACATTTTCGTATCGTCTTGTTCTCTGTGCATTTAACTGCATTTTCTGTTTAAGCATTTCCTTGATTGATAGAATTTCATTTAGGGATTTAATTTTATATTTCTGCTTGATCTTCTTGCACTTGCATGTTGAAATATTTGGGCTTCTAGTGAGCTCAGCTAATATAGAAATCTCACATTTGATTTACTTTATTTCTTGCAGCAGGTTTGCCTTCCAAGCTGGCTCTCTTTGTTAATTTTTTTCATTGTCTTTAACCTAAGCTTCCCAGTAGCTGCAAAAGCTGTTGCTCATATGACATTGTTAATTCCTGCGATGTTTCCCAGTCGTTTGTCCGTTAACAGTGTTTCCAGTGCAGCGTTGTATATTTGCACAATATACTTATTGGAGTTAGTCATATGAATTTTTGGGAGCCGGTCTCTTTGTGACGTTTGTGTGAGAGTTACTCTGCTGACTACATGGATGACGTGGTTTTTCGCTTCGGTTGATTTCAAGGAATTCTACCTTAGTGTAGTTGGAGTCATCTTCAGTGACATGCTCTGGATAACCTCAGGTTATATCACAGGTAGATACTTCGATTTTATTTTCTTGGAGGGGAGGAGCGGTTATCATTTCGTATCTCCTTTATTTTAGTTTTTACCTCCTCCTCTGTCATATTACTTATTTATATTCCTATCTCTTTACTGTTTGAGTGATGGGTTAGAGTATTCTGTCACATATCTAGTTTTATCTTATCTATTTCTGCAATTGAGAGCCTTTTGTTACACGCGATGTCCCTGCGTACATTGGTAAGTATGTTTGGGTTAAGATGAGGTCTTATTTCACTTCTTACCATGATTCTTCATAATTGGTATGTCTGATTCTTTGCTGGATATTCGAGTGCAGTGAAGAATGATGTCATGACTTGGTGATACTCTTCGCGAGACCATTTCGTTCGTTTTCCTTTTATTAGTTGATTTGGTATTGAGTCACTTGGTTCAAGGTTGGGAATAGTCCAGGTTTGGTGACCTAGTGTCTCTTAGTTTTTGGAAGAGTTTGTTTCAGTGACAGATTTTTCGACCCCAGAATGGTTCCTCTCTGAGGTACGTGGCCCTTGTTGACCCGGGTGACAGCCGATCCGATATGACATTTTATTTGTAATCATTGAGATTCATAAAATTTTGCGTTTCATCTTTGATCGCCAAGGGGTAATTTTGTTTTAAGTTACCAACTCTGGGACGACACTCGAAGAAGACCAGAGAGATCGTCTGACCCATGAGTACGGATGGCGATTATATTCATATATGGCACTGACTATACTAAGTTTTAACTTAGTAGAAGTCGCAGTGACCACAATTAGTTGGAATATCATACTTTAATATTGAGGGTTATTCCACAAAAAAAAAAATAAAAAAAAAGACGAGAAAGGAAAGAGAAAAAAATTAAGATGAAAGAATTAAAGCTAAATAAAGTCAAAAAGACTTAAAATGAAATCAAATAAAAGGAAAAATGTAATTTAAAATGGTATAAAATTTACGATTCTTTACATGTTAACTGTCGTTCCACAAATGTTCAACTTTCTGACGTTAATGAAAGTTGTAGTTATCAAGTTTTATAGGGTAGATCATCCCCGCCACTACAGTTTAGCGGAAAAAGCTATCATGGAATTCATTAAACAAAGGTATAGAGACAAGGAAAAGAAACAAAATAAATTGAATCTGCTTGCCACTAAAAGATAAATTTTAAATTTTCACTCTAGGAAGAGTCAGTCAAAAAGCAGAACATTGTCAGATTAGTACACTTGTCGCCAAATGCAAAAGAAAAGAAATATCAGACAATATGATTCCTACCCATGCGAATACCCATACATATATATACACATGCATGCATATACACACGCATTGACAGAGATGCATTATTAAGGAAACAAAAATGGACGGAAGGTTTCGTTGGAGCAGTGAGGGGAAAAATTAAAAATATAAATAATGAGAAAAATTAACATAAAAAAATAACAGACAATTAAAAAAAACAGAGGAGGGAAAGGAAAAAGAAAAATTAAAATGAAAGAATTAAAGTTAAATATTGTCAAATTATTATTATTATTATTATTATTATTATTATTATTATTATTTTCTTTGATTTCTGGAGTTTACACATTTCTTTCCGGGTCTCGCCCAGGGACCTAAGGTTAGAAATAGCATCATGACACTTTCCACTGACAAAAAAAAAAAGAAAAAATATTACATAGATAAAGCCCTTCGTAAAGTGTGGGCTGTACTTGTCAGAACAATTTTATTATTATCATTATTATTATTATTATTATTATTTGATTTCTGTTATAGACACATTTCTTTCCAGGTCCCAACAAGGGACCTAAGATCAGACATTTTCTAATGAACGTTTTTGTAAAAAAAAAAAAAAAAATCTTAAAATAACGCAAATTTTATATACATAAAACACTTCGGAATGTGTGAGCTGTACTTGTAAATTTCGAAGGATTCCCATTTCAAAATGAAATTGCTTTAATTCTCTAACTTATCGATTAGATTATCCGGCTTCTAAATTAAAAAAAAACAAAACCTACCTTTCGAGAATTTAAAAAGTGACATTCGACAACAGTAATCTATGGCTCTGATAATAAAATTTTGAAAAATAAAAAAAAATATTCCCAGGAAATTGATGACATTTTAATATTGGTTATTCAAGAATCCCCAATACGACATAAAAATACATCATTAACTGAAGACGGTTATAAGATCTATTTATCTATCTATCTATCTATCTATCTATCTATCTATCTATCTATCTATCTGAGTCTGTTTATCTATCTGTGTCTGTTTTTTTTTCTTTCTTTCTATCTATCTATCTATCTATCTATCTATCTATCTAACTGAGTCTTTTAAACTATTTCATTCTATCTATCTATCTATCTATCTATCTATCTATCTATCTATCTATCTATCTCAGTCTGTTTATCTATCTATCTATCTATCTATCTATCTATCTATCTATCTATCTATCTATCTGAGTCTTTAAACTATTTCATTCTATCTATCTATCTATCTATCTATCTATCTATCTATCTATCTATCTATCTATCTATCTATCTATCGCAGTCTGTTCATATCTATCTATCTATCTATCTATCTATCTATCTATCTATCTTGCTGTACGTGTTGTGAAAGATCTGGAGCCAAAATTCTTACAACAGTATCTGATGGTTCTGATAGCGAAATTTGGAAAAATTAAAAATATATATCCTCATGAAAGTGATGGCATTTTAATATTCGATATTCAAGAATTTTCAATACGACACAAAAATACATCATTAGCTGAAGAGGGTTCTCAGAACTTTCGAAAAATCTATCTATATGTGGGTGTGGATGTTCTGAAAGATCTAATGTGAAAATTCTTACGATAGTATCCGATAGTTCTAAGAGTGAAATTTTGAAAAAAATACACAGATATTCCAATGAAAGTGATGGCATTTTAATCTTGGTTAATGTAGAATTCTAAGCCGAACAATGAAACGCTTTCCAACAAACATAAGCCTGAAGTATGGTCATTTGGTCAGTTATAAGAAGCGTATGTGGTGTTGCATACTTTTCAGCAGCTCTCATTGATACACTTACCATAATACACTTGTAGCTATTTCAACCACAAACTGTTTTTCTCTGAATAATTAAGCGTAATAAACATTAAACAGATAATAAGCCTAGCATACATTGTATCCGATTGAATTTGGCAAGTAATTTTAAACAACACTATTGCAGATGCATTTTAGAGAAATATATATATATATATATATATATATATATATATATATGTGTGTGTGTGTGTGTGTGTATCTGTGCGTGTATAAAATCCACATAATTGCATTTACACACACACACACGCATATATATATATATATATATATATATATATATATATATATATATATATCTTTGTAATTAGGAGATTTATATAATTTTTATAATAATTTATTATGTCTAGACCTAGAATCCACAACAAACATTCACAGACACATACAGAAAAGCACAGGCCGGCCGTTTCGTCCTTTTTTGGACTCATCTGTATTGCGCATCCTCTATCGACTCTGAAAATCGAACCCGGACCGTTCCAAAACAACGCTTCGGGCTGGAGTCTTCTCCGGTGGAGGAGATGGAACTAAGTTATTAGACTCAATACAGCGCAGCTCATCCTAAGCTGTCCAGTTCTTTTTTTTTTTTTTTTGCATGTGGTTGTATTGAGAATTCTAGGTCTAGACGTAATGAATTACAGTGTAACCCGGATATAAGAGAGTTGTCGGGACCGGAGAAGAAGGCTCTTATATCCGGGTTTCTCTTATATCCGGGTTTGGTCTATTTTATATACATTAACGCAGGCTCTAATTTGGGACCAGAGAAAATCTCTCTTATATCCGGGTTTCTCTTATATCCGGGTTTCTCTTATATCCGGGTTTGGTCTATTTTATATACATTTACACAGGCTCTAATTTGGGACCAGAGAAAATCTCTCTTATATCCGGGTTTCTCTTATATCCGGGTTTGGTCTATTTTATATACATTAACACAGGCTCTAATTTGGAACCAGAGAAAATCTCTCTTATATCCCGGTTTCTCTTATATCAGGGTCTCTTATATCTGGGTTACACTGTATTAAGAAAATTATACAAATCCCCAAATTGCTAATCAGTTATATACACCTATGCTCGATCCATCTTCTAATGCTTAGGATTTAGCGGCTCGGTTAAGGAAGATTTTGCTTTTGGTGGGAGGTCCTGTGGGTTATGTAGGCTTGCATAAATATCTCCAACGGAAATAAGATGAGCTATATTGTGTCTAGTAACTTAGTTTCCTTTTCGTCACCCAATGGCCTGATACTTGCGTCGTATCTAAAAAGGTCTAGATTCGATTCTCGGCAATCGGTAGAGGATGCGCAATGTTGAACGAAACGACCGTCCAATGCATTTCTATGTGTATGTTGAGGATTCTAAGTATAGACATGATGAATATATATATATATATATATATATATATATATATATATATATATACATTGTCATCCACAGACAGACTGTTTTGCTGTATCTCTGCTCGCCAGCGTGGATAAACGTCCGGTTGCCTCTAGCTAGTATCGAAACCCAGCTGAATTGGCGTCAGTCGAAGAATCGACACCTAAGCTGTTGGCGCACATCAGGAATGATGGTGAATTTAGGCGTATTTATTTTTAGATAAACAGTCCAGTAACTCCTCCACCATGGCCCCCAGCCTAAAGTGTCGTTTGGGAACGGTCCGTTTTATCGAAGAGTATTGCATTAGAAGCAGTAATAGTCACTGTCAACAAACTCACATTTTCTTCTCCGAGAGCTAAACAGAAATGATTATTCAGGAGCATATATATTGACATCCACAAACCGTTTCGCTGTAACATAGCTCATCAGTGTGACTAGACGCCCTGTTGCCTCTAGCTAGGATCGAAATCGGCTGAATTGGCGTCAATCGGAGAATCTACCCTTAAGCCATTGGCGCACGGCAGGGATGAAGGTAAATAAATATATATATATATATATATATATATATATATATATATATATATATATATATATTTTTATCTCTCTTTATACGCATGCAAAGGCACACAGACACACATACATACAACATTTATATATATAATATTTATATATATATATATATATATATATATGTGTGTGTGTGTGTACTTGATATTTGAGCAGCGACCTTTCTTTCAAACATATTTCGTTGAATATGACAGACAAGGAAAATTTAATTAAGTTTTTAATTAGTTTTTCCAGAAATCATAAGTTCTCCGTTATATATATATATATATATATATATATATATATATATATATATATATATATATATATATATTGGACTTGGAAAACAATTTTAAAAATAGTATTATAGATGCTTTTAAGGGTAGTACATATGTAATATTTTATCCATTTCAATCCAAGTAACGCAATAAAGCCACTAGGACACAAAGATTTAGATATGAGAGAATATGAGAAAATGAAAAAAAATTATCTCTACAATGACAATACCCTATGTAAATGATAAGAAATTACCATCAAGTTATCCGCAACACCTAGTTCCAGGAACACACAAGACGCCTTTGGAAAAATCGAGAGACAAAAAACATGACCTATTATGCAACTATCAACAAAAGATTCATAAACGCAGTTTTACACTGCAAAACATAGCCAAGGGCTGACTGCGAGAGCAGCCATCTTCGAATCGTATGCTACATCAAAGTAACAATATGGAAACTGCAATATCACAGGCTCCTGAGTGACTAAGTTGCAAAGAAACATATAAAAAGAGAGTCACGTCGGTGAGCGAGAGCATCCCCCCAAAAAACAGACAAGAAAGGAATGAATGGATGACAGAAGCAATTTTAGATATGATGCAAAAGTGACAACAAACAATGCCAAGGAATGTAAAAGAATACCGAACGCTAAATAGAGAAATTAAAAACAAAGGATAACTGATAATAGAAAAAAGAAAAAAAAAACTCCAAGGGTGGAGCGGATACATCAATGCACCTTTTCAGCGTGTGAGAAAGAAGGCATACGATGGAAAATACAGAAAGACACATAAACTAAAAATGAATTAAGATCAGCATTGGAGAAGATGAACAGGAACACAATAGCGGGGACTGATGGGACCGTAACAGAAATACTTTCAGCCTTCGGCACAGAAATGATCATAGAAGTAATAAGCGAAATATAGAATAGTGATCGCATACCGAAGGACCTCACCAAATTCATCTTCCTAACATTACCTAAGAGATTGGGAGCAAATGAATACGATCTCCATTGAACAATCAGTTTAATGATGCGAATCCAGATGAATGCAACGCGAAAAAAAAATTAGACCGGAAATAGTACAGGACTGTGCGTCTTTGTTAAGGACACCGGAAGAAGAAATGCTATATCCAGAATCAGAGTGATATTAGAGAAAGCAATGCACATGCAAAGGAATGTGTACTTATGGTTATAGATTACGCAAAAGCATTTGACAAGGTAAGGCACAAGGACCTATTTGCTGTGCTTTGAAAACTAGATCTATTTTCGAACAGATTTTAGAATAATCTAGAAATTATACTGGAAGCAAACCTCCTGCACACGGATAGAATATTGAGTAGGTATACAAAAATAGAAAGGAGCGCGAGACAAGGATGCGTCTTTGTCCCCAGATTTATTCAGTTCCTAGAGCAACGCCATCCTAAGGAAACTGGAGATCCTACAAGGATATATTATCGGGATTGATCATAATCAAAGAAGATATGTAGCTGACTAGGTGTTGATGACTAACCCGGAAAAGAAAACTACAAAGCCTACTAGGTAGGTTAGTAAAAGAAAGCGAGAACAAAGGACTAACTATAACAGAAAGTATGGTCACCAGCAAGAGAAAAAAAACCCAAGATACGAATTTCAGTTCGAAGATATTAACATCAATGCAGAAGTTTATATAACTGGGAAGTGTTCTAACAGAGTCTAGAAAATGCGATACCAAAATCTAAACACGCGTTGCATTAGAGAAAAAAGGCATTCCAAAAGCGAAAAAAAAAAAAAAGGACACAGGAGAAATTTCTGTAGAAGCAAAGAGAAGCGTGCGGGATTGCTATGTTCCCCATCCTCTTATATGGTAATGAATGCTGGACGATCTCATCACGGATGAGGAGGAAATGGAGACGTAAGTAATATGGTTCTACAGAAGGATATTGAAAATGCCATGGAAGCAGCGAATAAGCAACAATGAAGTATTAAAGAAAATGGTGATGAAAATAACATTTATAAACAGTTAAATGTAACCGCCTCTTCTAATTCTATAGCTTCTTCTCTTGCACTTCCCGACAGTTGAACTCCCTCTTACTTGCTTTCCTGATAACTATAATCTTCAAAAATTGAAATATAATAATAATCGACAACTTCTGATGATCTCCGTTCTTCTCTTTATCCTTCTCCTTTCTTCTTTTTATCTTTTCCTCAATCCTCCCCCTATAGTCAGTCTTTTCTTACACTTTCTGTAACCCCTTGTGTACTAGTGGCTCTCCCGACTTGCTTGGGTTGAAATGATTAAAAAGAAAAAAAAAACTTCATGAAACAGAAAGTATGGTCATAAACAATAGAAAAAAAAACCCA